GGGGGGGGGGGGGGGGGGATGGAGCCCCCGAGCCCCCTGGCTCCGCCGCCTCCGTGTTGTGACACAGTAGGTTACACTAGACGTCAATTAAGCTGTTTCCATGGTGTTTTATAGGAAGGTGCCCTTGAAAAAAGTTTGGGATGTCATGGAAACACTGTGATTGAAGTCCATCAAAAATACTCTTCTGGAATGATTATACCTCATGTGCAACATGTTATATTAATTCTTTTGGTACTGTCTGAATGTGTTTTTATGAATGTTTTTGAAAACGTAGTTGAACAAAGAGAAGAAATCATTAGAAGAGAAGTTAAATGAAACTGCACAGTCCTTGGTCGATGAAGAAGAAAAGGCAAAAGGCTTATCCAAACAGAAGGCTAAACAAGATGCAGTTATTGCTGACCTGGAGGAAAGACTACGAAATGAAGAACGGGTAATTTGATTGATTACTGGTTATTAGAATGGGAATGTCAGTGATGGTGATAGCGATGATAAATGTGATGATGATGATGATGATGTCGATCATGATGATGATGATAGTGATGATGATAAATATGATGATGATGATGACGATGGTGGTGGTGATGATGCCGATGATGGAGGTTGTGGTGATAATGATGATGATGCATGCAAATGATGGTAATGTAAGTTGGTTGTTGGTTGCAGTTATGAATGGAACAAAGTAATTAAAAGTAATTACTCACTAGAACTCAAATGCTGTTTGTTGCAGGCTCGCCAAGAACTCGAAAAGATTCGTCGTAAATTAGAAGCTGAATTGGCTGAAGTGTCACGTCAGTTGGAAGAAGCCAAACAACAGGTGATGCATCCAACCCTAACTTGCCTATCCCTCGACCCTGTCCCCCTCATGAGTTCAATTGACCCATCTCCTCAGTCCCTGAATGGGTTCAACTGACCTCTCCCCTCTGTCCCCCTCATGGGTTCAACTGACCCCCTCCTGTCCCCCTCATGGGTTGAACTGACCCCCTCCCCTCTGGTCCTCCTCATGGGTTGAACTGACCCCCTCCCCTCAGTCCTCTTTTCATTGTCCCAGCGCATATTATTACGTATTCATATAGTTCATTGCAATATTGAAAGTGATGGTTTAATGTTTAGATTCAAGAACTGGAAGCATCTGTTCATAAAAAGGATATGGAGCTGAATGAAATGAGTGCCAGGTATGTCTATTTGCTTGTCTCTGGTTTACTCAGTCAGACAGACAGTCATTCAATAAGTCAGTGAGTCATTCATTTGGTCAGACAGACAGTCATTCAATAAGTCAATGAGTCATTCATTTGGTCAGACAGACAGTCATTCAATAAGTCACTGAGTCATTCAGTTGGTCAGACAGACAGTCATTCAATAAGTCACTGAGTCATTCATTTGGTCATTAGGACACTCAGAGAGACAAACACACCATCTGCCATCCTATCAACATTTGTGCTGAATATCTTCTAAATATCCATATCCTTCAATCTTCAAGGTTTGATGAGGAGTCTGCCAAGAAAGTAGAGCTTGAGAAAAACAAACGAGAACTCGAAACGCAGGTTGAAGAGCTGAAAGAAGATCTGGACGTGGAAAAGAGTGCTAGAGTCAAAGCTGAGAGGCAAAAGCGAGAACTCAGTGAGGTTGGTATAGAAACAAATAGGATGGGAAGGGTCGGACCTCAATTCTGTGTTTGTCGCTTTTTAGTTGTTGCACAGTGTGTCTTCCCTTCACTAAAGGCCAGCAATGAGATTCATGAGATCCAATAGAATGCTTTCTGGTCGACAGCACATGACGGGCAGTGTTTGCCTGTCATTGTAAGCTGGTAATAAGATTCCTGAGATTCATTCAGCTGATTGAGACCAAGCAATAGAATACTCTCTTACAAATAGTGTTTTTTTGGTAGGAATTGGAATCACTGAAGTCTGAACTGGAAGAGTCGATTGACACCACAGCTGCTGCTACCGACATGAGACAGAAGAGAGAACAAGAGGTGATATCATTGAAGAAGAGTGTAGAAGAAGAAGCTTCTGCCCATGAAGCCGCCATGGCTCAGCTGAAACACAAGAGTGCTCAACATATAGAAGAGATCCAGGAGAAACTAGATGCTACCTTGAAGGTCAGTGTTGTTCACGTGATTATATAGAGACCCATCTTACCCATGAAGAGATTGTCACCAAATCAAGGTTTACTCTATATGTTAGTGTTGAAGTTGGAGTAGAGAAAGCTCACTCCATATGTGGTATGATTAATTTCATATTTGGATTGTGCGGAAAAGCGGCAAACAAAAAGGCCGTCGTTTTACAACGAATTCGACATGAACATTTTTGAAGAAGAAAAGAAAAGAAAAAAAAAAGACAAGTAAAAAAAGAAAAACTTGGAAAATCGAGGAAGGATACGGGGAAGATGCTGACTCATGGGTCTGCCTCGCAGACAACAGACACAGGGAAATACGCCACTCAATGTTTGATACGATGATATGTAGAAATCCACGATAAAATGATAGCCGTAAACCCAATGCTCTCTCTTCTTTCCATAGGCCAAAGCATCGCTGGAAAAGTCGAAGAACAACCTATCAAACCAAACCTCCGAAATGGCCGTCGAAATCAAAAATCTGAGCGAGAAGAAACAAGAGCAAGAACGCAAGATTAAGCTACTCGAAAATCAGCTGACAGATGCCAATATACGACTAACTGATGATGAATCTAAAGTATCCGAGCTGCAGGCGGTCCGTGTTCAATTACAGAAGGAGGTTGAAGCATCAACGGCACAAATGGAAGAGCTGGAGTCAAGGTGTAGTTCTTTAGAGAGAAATAAGAAAACTCTGGAAGAACAGCTAGCCGAGACTCAGGTAAGTTAACGTTTTTCTTGTTTTTTTTTTGTGAATTATTTTTTCTACCTTTCTATTTTCCTGCTTCTATTCTTTTGTCATCCACTTTGTAACGGAGTTGGTACTCCCTTATTTTAGCTTTAGTTTATATTTTTTGTACGACCGAATTAAAGGCCGTCAAGGTTTCGACGGGTAAAGACGTGACTCGACGTTGCTCTTTTCTCTGTGTGGTATCAAGACCCTTTCATGGTGAATCTTTCCACGGCCCTCTCAAGCGAGCTGGCGCTACCACACACTTTTTCTATTTTCTTTCTTTCATTGTGGTGGTGATGACGATAATAGTGATGATGATAATGATAATTGATGATAGTGGTCATGATATTGAGGGTGATGATGGTG